GGCCTCCGCAGTGCTTGCTGCGCGCCCGCCCGGCGGGGATAATGGGAGGCCCGGCGCCGGCCCGTGCGCGCGAGGAGGCCGGCCGAGGTAGAGGCCAGGGCGTGGGCCGGGCGCGGACCCGGGAGGGCGAGGGAGCACGGATGAAAACAGAACAGGCCGGCGGCGGCGACGCTGGTGGCAGCTGAAGACGGCCCCGCCAGCCTTTCTTCCCAGGCCCCCTCCCGTCTGCCTGCTTCCCGTGCTCTTGGGGTGTTGGGGTGCAGCGGGGGGACCTGGCGAGTCTCCGGTGTCCTCCGGCCTCATCAGTCTTTCTGGCTTTGCTTGCAGGTGGAGATAAAGGCTGGTGAAGGAGCCGGGCCGTGGGGACAAGGACCTGCTGTCAAGGTACCCTGTGTGTGCGTGTGTGTGTGTGTGTGTGTGTGCGCGCGCGTTTCGTCCTGCCGTCCTGCCTGCCTGCCTGCCTGCCTGCGGCGTGGGGGCGGGGAGGAGTGCAGTGTCTGCTGGGATTGGATAAAATCCAGGGTCCTCTCCGGTGACCCCTTAATCTCCCGCTGTGTCACAGCTGCGGGGGAGGGGGTGTGGGTGGCGGGGGCTCCCTGCGCCTGGGTGGGTTTTGTTTGGATCCTCGGCTGGAAGGTCCTGTACGGACTGGGTTTTGCGTGCCTGGGTTTTGCGTGCCGAACTGTTGTTGTTTTTTCTGCGCTGCGCTCCCTCCCTGCCCGCTCCCCACCCTTGGCTCCGGAAGTCTCTTGGGAATGTCCCTGGCCTTGTTGGTTTGCATCCAATCTGCAGAGATGTGTCCCTGTTCCTGGGGGGTGGGGAGGGGGTGACTGTGCCCCTGAGCCTGGAGCGGATAGGGTATCGTTAGTCATGCTGCTGTCACCATGGCGATGGCGGGAGAGGGGGTGGGGGTGAGGATATTTTGGGTAGGGTGGGGGTGATGCAACCCGGCAGGCGTCTGCTGTCGCTCTGGTGTCTGGGGGCCTGGGGAGGGAGTGTCGCCAGCCAGGTGCGTGGGAAGCAGAGGAAGGGGCCTCTGTCTCCTCGGGGTGCGTCTGAGGACGGGGCGTCTGCGGGGCGCATCTGGGGGCGATGTTGTACAGGCCAGGACTTCTGAGCTCCCATGTTGCCTGCTTGCTGTCGCTGTTCTGAGGGACCCTGCCGAGGCTCTGTGAGTTCAGGATTAGTCAGCAGTCTCTGGACAGAACAGCATGGACCCAGCCTGCAGCTGCCTCTCAGGCTCAGAACAGAGTGAGGATGGGGGGGGGGGGGTTGTCAGTAGATCAGATGAGGATGAGGGGGACGCCTGTTCCCTCCCAGCACCACCTTCCTTTTTGGTCCCCAAATCTGAGGGCAGCTAGGAGAGAGCTAGGTTTCTCCAGTAGCAGGTGGATAAATGCTGTGTCCCCAGATGCTCCTCCCTGGAAGCCCTTCCCCCCACTGCTTCCTGGGAAAGCTGTGGGAAGAGCTGGATGGTGTGGGAGGTCAGGCAGTACCCTCCCAAACACCTCCACCACTACTCCCCCCACTGCTGGTGGGCTCCTGGGTGGTTGAGGAGGCCCACCTCCCAAGGAACCAGTCAACTAGAGGTGCTTGGGGAGGAAGTGGGGGCTGGGCATGCCTTGGTGACAGTGGGAGGGGATCCCCCGACAGATGGGTGGTGCTGGTGAGACCATGGGTAGGAAGCAGAGCTCCGCTACTTCCTGCCCCCCCCTGCCCAGGGACTGTGAGCCTGTGTGTAGGACTGAGGGATGGGATGGCAGAGTGGACCTGCTCTGCCCCACCTCAGGGGCAGCAGGATAGAGGATGAGGACAAGGAAGGACAGCCCCAGTGCCTCTGGACCACTGGCTTGTTTGTTGAAGGAAGGATAGCCAGCCGGCCGGTGTTTACTCCACAGCCCACCTGTCTGCAGACTTTGCCGGCTGTCCTCCTCTGTCCACTCCTCTGAATGTGTACACACTCCATATCTCTGGCCCCGTCCACTGAGAGGATGGAGGAGGGTGCTCCCAGGCCTGGGACCCGTGGGCAGGAGGCACGGTGCCCCATCTGCTGATAGGATGGGGAGGTGGGGGGAGTTGTTCCATACCTGGGACCCGCGGGCGGGAGGCACAGCTCCTAGGAAAACCAGTCTCCCTTGCCCTCTCAGCGTGGGCCGGGCTGCTCGGTGGTGCAGCTCTGGGCATGTCTGTGCCCGTTTTACTGTTGGTGGGAAGAAACTCGCTTCCTCATTGTGGGCACAGCTCGGCCAGTGGCAATTCCGAGTCTTGTTCCGGTGCACTCTCTGTCCGCAGAGAGCCTTGGACACCACCTGGTGGGTTGTCAGTTGTGCTGTGGGAACTGCCCAGTGTGTGAGCTCCTTGAGGACAGGAGCATGGAAGGCTGGCCTGTCATTGTGTTCCCAGGGATGATGGCTGCAGGAGATCTGGGCCCTGGGTGGCCAGTGGGAACCGTGCTGAGTGCTGCTGGGCCCCTGAATGCCCCTGGTGCACAGCTGGCCGCGGCCTCCTGCATGGTGCCAATGGCCACGTGCTCGGAGATGCCTGGGGGAAAACAGGCTAGCCGTGCACTTCCGTAAAATGACCTCGTTGACATGCAGTCAGAACTGACTCACAGCAGAGCCTCCAGTGGGCTTTCAGAGGCCGCAAATCACACGGGAGGAGCCTGCTCGTCCTCTGGCGAACTGGTGGGTCCGAGCTGTAGGCTTTGGCATCACGGCTCCTTACCTTTTGGCCACCAGAACTCCCTGACAACCCTTGGAGCCCAGCAGGACTCTGACACCTGTGGGCTCAGTCAGGAAGGAGTGGACAGTGCCTGTCCTGAGAGTCCGGTACCTACTGCAGGACCTGCACAGAACAGAGCTGAAGAAGCGCATGCTGCGTCTTTCTGTCTGTCAGATGTCCACCTATGACAGCCCAGGAACACGCCCTGACAAACAGTTTTGCCGCCCCACCTACTTGGCAGCACGGACAGGAGTGAGTGCCTGGCTGCCCTGCCCCTGGCTTGCATGCCACTCCTTGCTGTCCTGCGGGAGCTCTGAGGCCATCTGTGCCCAAAATTGCTGCCTCTGCCCCTCCTTAGGCTACCAGAGAAATTCCCCTCCGTCAGGGACACACCTGCTAGTTCTCACTGTCCAGTGAGGTGGGTTGACAGAGTGACTGTCGCTGTGGACCCTGTCCACTGAGCATGGTGGGGACCATGGGGGTGATGCAGGACAGCGCCGTGAGGTGGTGGGGATGGTGGGGATGATGCAGGACAGGGCTGTGGGGATGGTGAATGAGTGGTACAGGGCAGGGCTGTGAGGTGGTGGGGATGGTGGAGGTGGTACAGGGCAGGGCTGTGAG